AGTTCCAACAGCATTAATTGCTTCTTGAACTACTTCAGATTCTTCTGCTGTACTAATTGTATTATTAATGTTGATTTATTATCTAATGCAAGTGTTAATTTGAAACACAATATATCTTTGATTTATGTAAAATTTTTTACTATATTTTCGCATCCTAATATAATGCATTTGATAAATAAATTTAAACTTTGCACAATTTGATAAGTTAATTAATATTTTGTAATTTTATTGGTTGTCACATAATCACATAATACATGTATGTACAGTATACATGCCGGTGCAAATTTAAATAATCAATAGCGATAGTTAATCTAAAATAAATACACATATTGTTTGATACATATTATCTTTAAATATGAAGTTATTAAATCAAGAAAACCAACTTGAAATTGAAGAACACTCAACATATCCTTCTTCCACAAAAATTATATATAAAGAACGGTTTAAAAATCAAACTCAACGTAGCTTTATATATAATATTCAAAAAGAAAGTATTTATCCTTCAAATAATAAACTAGTTACAACTATGAAACAAAAAAATTTTAAAGAAAACACAGAAGAAAGTCAATTCTTAAAAAACAAAAGACCATTTCAAGAATACAAAATTCCAGACAAGTATGCTGTTATAACTGAATGAAGACGTGGAACAAATCACAAAATCGTTTATTGTCAAATTGATTATATTGATAATAAGCCTCAATTTTTAATCAAATACGGATTAAATTTTGAAAATATAATTTCATCGATGAAATCGGCAACTCAAGCTGCATTATTATATGAGCGGGTATGTTGTTATTTATTTAATTTATTTAATTTTATATATAAATCTAATTTTATTTTAGACCATTAATCCTAGTTCTAAAAGTACAATCTCAGGTCCATTGGTTTTTGGATTGCAATTAAAAACTGTTCAAAAAATTAGAGAATCTTATAACAAGTCTAGACAAGTTAAGCCTGCTAATCAATGTACTGAAATGACTTTAGAAAATCGTGCTAGAACATTAGGGGAGGGCCATTTATCACCTGATATTTTGCTACTAAGAGGCTACCCCCCTCCCCCTACCTGATAATAAATACTACATTTTGATTGGCTAAAATTTTTTAAAAATTTAAAAAATTTTAAATTTCAATATTAAATAACTTTTGAACCAGTGGC